GAAACGTTTGAGTTGAATTAAAATTTTCAAATGCTGCCTTAAGAACTCTATCAAGAAAACTATGAAGCCATAAATGTAACACTTCGCCTTGTCACAAAAGACACAAGTAAAGAAAAGGTTCAAATATGCTATTTGTAGATCATCAAAACAGCAAAATTACAATAACGTGAGCAAAATATGACAGTTTTGGTGGCAAATAACGTTCTTGGAATTGTTAATGAAAAGTGTCTGATTTATGTTCTTTATTAAGGTCACGTACATTTGGAACAGTTTCTTTAGTTTTATTGATTTTATCAAATCGTCAAAAGAAAAAAATTAAAAAGTCCTTGAAAGTAGGTGGCATATTTTCTCTAATTAAATTATTCGCTGGAATTGTGGATTTTTATGGTGTTCTAGTAAAAATAATTATAAAAAAAAGGATTGGGTGTTTTACTCGCACCGCGTGACCATTAACGTTAGTGTGAGGTGGGCGCTCGTCTCGGGTTAAAACATTTTGAAGGTTTCGCTTTAAATATTAAAATAACACAATTATTCTTCATTGGAATTTTACATCTTCCTTTCCTATTATTTAATATTAATTCTAAATGCTAATTCTGTGAAGCTAAAAATTACAGTTCGTTTTAAACTATTTATATTAGAAGTATTCATTTTAAAAATCCTTTTATATTTTTGTAGCTAGCTACTGTTGCGCTACTTAATTTTCTCTCCTTACAATTAAGCTATTATATCAAGAATAATATATTTTTTTAAAAAATAATCGTAGAACGGATACTTCAGTCAATGTACTTATAAATGTATCAGTACTGCACAATGTATTTTATAACTAATTTATTAATACTAATTTAAGAATGTTTACTCATATATTAGTGACTTCCATGGGCTTATCTTGCAGAGCAAAGGTTCTCAAATGAAGGCTTAATATTAGAAATTGACACTCTAAGTTCTTTCTGACGTGTTGCTGACGTTGCTGACGTCTTTGGGAAACGGAACGCGGAGTTGCTCCTCCATCCCATAATGAAGATGTTGATGTGGCCTGGGTGTGGGATGGGCCTGGCTGAGTACGAGCTTCCTGATCTGCTGTGGGGTTGTGGTACAGGTGCCATATGGAATCAGTGAGGGATGCATCCTGGATTTTGGCGGAAAAAGTCCTGGTTGTTGGTGGAGGAGAGCTGCTGATTGGTCTATGGCACTGGGAGAGTAGGCACTTTATTGGCTGCACTGATGCATTGAACTGAACAAGTGGGAGGGGTATAGAAGTTAGCCTGTGGATTGAAATTGCTAAGAAATTCATGTTAAGATAATGGAGAGATTAGAAAAGAATGGTCTCTCACCTCACACGCGGTGAGTGACTAAATTAATTGTTAGGGCGGGTAATAAGAGTCTAGAAGAATTCTCCTAGGTCTTTTAATATCTGGCACTGATAGTACTATTTAGTTTTTTGAACATTTTCGTTATCGATGTTAGGCTCATTGAAAATGAGATAGCCAGTTTTTGTAAATAAGCTTTTAAGAGGGAATTTTTAATATCATTATAAATTAAGGAGTTTCTAGTATATCTTATCGGGGCTTTACTATATTTTATTAACGAGTTCTGAGCAATCTCGAGAATTTTTAAGTTTGAATCTGCTGCGTAGCCCCACACAGGCGCACCATAGGTAATTATTAGTCGCAAAACGGCAGTGTAGAGAAGTAACTTATTGTACATATTTAATTCAGATTTCCGGCCAATTAAGGGGAAAAGTGCTCTTAGAGCCCTCCGGAATTTATCGCGCTTGTGTGTCAAATGTTGTTTCCAAGTGAGTTTTTTATCAAGGATCAATCCAAGGTATTTTGTGTTCTGAGACCACTGGAGTTGTGTGGAATAGAGAGTAGGAGGCGTTGGTTGTGTTTTCCTTTTAGTGAAGAGAACTGCTATCGTTTTATCTACATTAATTTTAATTTTCCATGTGAGTTCTTTTTCTATATTTAGCTGAGATCTATATTTTGTCTTCAAAGCAGCCACCGCAGAAAATCCGGTTTCACAAAGGTACGATGTTGAAAATGGTAATAGTATACGAAATGCTTTGTTTTCAGTGCAGAAAATCATCTACTTCGCCCAAAAATTATAGAGTTTTTATTACAAAATTGTCTTTAATTTTGAGAGCCCCTTTCAGGGGCTTTGAAATGCATCTCTAACCCATCTGTAACTTGTTATCGTTGTCCTCAGCAAAAAATATTTTTAATTTTTTGCCATCATAGCTAAATGATATTCAATAGTTTTATAAGCAACTTCCACATGTTGTTCAGTTTTGTAAGTTTTACACATTTATCCTCGCATTTTCAAACATTTCTAGGTTTTTGCTTTAAATTTCTGGCTCCATAATTCTAATTTCTACAAAAAGCATTTTATCACTCGTGTCAAAACATATGTACATTTGTTCCTTTGAAGTTGAAGATTCAATATATTTAATTTCTCAAATATATCGACTAAGCAGCTCAACGTCATCAGAAATAAACATCTTGAAATTTCTCAACTTCCGGCAGATTTTCCTCTTCTAGAAAAATGGTAATTTCATTTCTTAATTCATAAACACGTTGCAAAAAAATTTCCGCGTATAACCATCTTGCTTCACAATAAAATAGTTAACGATGAATGTACTGCGTCCATGTCTTGCAAAGTCCAGAAAAAGATTCTTGGATTTTAGGGGTCTCTCATTTTATGTAATTTACGTCACAACTGTCGTTAGCACAATATTCAGACCAGTATTCATTTCCTTTTTGAAGCCAGAGCTTCTTCTCTGATCATGCTTTGTGTCCAGATGCACAGTGGAGATTTCTGTTTCACAAGTGCTTGTATACTTTTAAATCTTCCTGACATTGTAATGAGCGCCATCGGTGCATATTCCGGACACAATTTTTTCCACTCCCTCATATTTGTCTCTGTTTATTAAATTATTTGAAATATCAAATAATGCTGTTGCTTTAAGTTTTATTATTATAAAAAACGTAGTTCTTATACTGCTGACATACCATCATCATCAAATCGAACGTACGCAACGGTTTGAGCATCTTTATTGCTGGCCTGTTGCCTCATCAAGCTGAATTGAAACTATTTTATCACGCAACTTAATGAAAGCTGTTGCTCTACATCTTCAGCGATATCATCAATTCGAGGGGGAAACAGTATCATTTGATAGTCCAGCAACTTTTTTGGCAAATTGCTCAAACAGTTTCTACGATCTCAATTGCTGCAGGCAAAATAAGCTCTCGGCAATAGTGTGAGGCTTTTACATCTGGTTGTTTTTATAAGATACTTTGTAAGAAGAAGTAAAGCTTTTTCATTCACTGACAAAGTTTTTTAAAAATGTTTTTGTTTTCCATATGATTTTAATTTTCATTCAAAGAACTCTCGGGAGGTTTGCCAATGTACTCACCATGAATATAGTTTCGAAATGTCTTTAAGCTTATTAGGTTTCATACTGTCCGCTGCCAATATTTTTGAGCAAATAACACATTGTGGGCTTTTTCTTCTCCATTTACTTCAGTAATGGTAAATCCAATATTCTAGTATTCTTGAGAATATTTCCTTGATTTAATTTCGAATATGCTCGTCTGCGCACTTGTTGATGCTTTATTATCGTCGAATGTCTGCTACGACTTAAAATTTATCCTTGATTTTTTGTTTCACCTTCTGCAGTAAATACTTAATACCGTAACAAAGTTCAACGCGCAATTATAAAATGTGCATTCCAGATAGATTTGGTATTACAGGTATTATCGAATCGACCAAGACTGACTGGAATTTTACGAGATACAGCATTATTATATGTTTTGAGCAGACGTCTGATAGTTTGGCCAGACTCACGCAGACGCTCGCGAGAATGCCAGATATGATGGATATGATAGCGCAATATAAAGTAGACTATTTTTCAATTTCTACTATAATTTCACTCTCTCATATGTATGTATATATATATACATTTGAACAAGATATATATATTTATATATCTTGTTGAAATAATCTTGTTGTAAAATACTTTCTATTCATTCATTCAAGTTCAAATACATTTTTTAAAACTTGTAGTGGATGACACTTCATGTTAATACAGTTCTTTTTTTCAAATTTTAATTCATTAATTAAATTAAAAAATGAATAAATAGAAACAAACAAAAATTTTAGTCCAACAGCATTTATAGAAAGAAAAATTTTTCGTGTTATCCCCTGTAATGCAATGGATAGCGCGCTGGGCTTCTAATCTGAAGGGCGGTGGTTCGAATTCCATCTGAGATGGCCTAATTTCGAGAATGTGTGTTTTTCTTCTTTACTATATATTTTTTACACTAATTAAATTTATTAATGAATAAATAGTAAAAAGAAAAGAATAGTCCAATACCATATATAGAAAGGAAAATGAAAATTAAGGAAATCGCTTTCATTTTGTGCTTAACATTGTGATTCTGTCATATGATTACATATTTGGTATTAATTGTAACTATTTAATAAAAAGTAACTAAAATTTTTTCTTTCTTGGCCTAGGTAGGAATTGACTTAAAAAATTTATTTTTTATATTACTTGTCCTAATGACATTTATACTTTTAGAAATGGATGATGGAGGAAATAAATCTTTAATTAAATATCATTTTGCAATCTGTTCCAATTTAAAAATTAGAGAAAGAAAAATAAATTATATTATAACTATTATTTAAAAGTAATTTGCTTAAAATATATATTACTAAAAGTAACGTATACAAAATTTAATACTCAAGTGCATTATTATTGCATTCAACACATTTTTTTTTGGGGGGGGGTGATGAAAATTATGATTGAAAATTGGGTCGCCAGTAGTGAAAGTTTGAGAAGCACTACACTATTGGCAAAATACAAAAGGATTTTCCTTGCAATTTTCCGCTTTCCTTTCTATATGGGGTGTTGGACTATTACTTTTGTTTGTTACTACTTAATTAAATTAAATTCTTCCAATAAAATAGTATAGTAAAAAATCACTTTTCAGAATTTAGGCCATCCCAGGTGGGATTCGAACCTTTGGGTTAGAAGTCCAAAGCACTATCCAATGTGCTATAGGGACACAACGAGCTATTTTCCTATTTATATATGATGTTGGACTATTATTTTAAATTGTTACTGTTTATTCATTAATTAAATTGAATTAATAAATTAATATTTGAAAAAACTATTAAGGTATCCGACTACGTTCGGAACCGTGATTTTGCAAAAGCGTATAAATGGGTAATATTTATGATATTTAGTGTCACTTAGATTAGAAAATGTATATAAAATTGTTTTAAGAAAAATATTACAAAAAAAATTATTTGTTTTTTTTTGAAAAAAAAATGAACATAAAAACCCATTTTCAAAATATTTCCCCTTTTAAAAAAATGCTTTTATAATAATATTTTTCCTGTATTTTTCTTGACCTCACAGAAGCTCAACTAGAAAAATATATAAACTTAAAAGGGGTTTATCCATTTTTTACACAACAGAGGGGAGAAATTTAAAAAAAAAAACGCCAAAATTAATTATTTTCTTTTGGGGTAACTCTAAAAAAATGTAAATTTTTTCAAAACCATAGTTGACCCTTTCTGTAAAAAGTCGGGTATATACAGAAAAAAATATTTTTAAATGGAAGCAGTTTTCTTTAAAGGAGAAATTTTAAAAAAAAGTTATTCTAAGTTAATTTTTTGCCGAAAAATTTTAAATAAAACAAGACATTTTTTAATTAAACATTATCTTTTTTTTTTTAAAAAAACACGGTTCCGAACATGTGGATACCAAACACAAGTGTCATTCATCAATTTTCAGAAGTGTATTTGAACTTGAGGGATGAATAAAAAAAATTTTTTTAACGACAAAATCGAACAAGATATATGTAAATTTATTTAAGGAGAGTTTGAACTATTAGTAGGAATTGTGAAAAGTAGATGGAATATAATTAGAATGATTACAAAGGAAAGAAGATTCTTTGATCAATTAATAAATTCTTAATGCAAAATAAAGCAATGTATGAATGCGTGGGCTCATCCCTTTATAATTCCATTGAACAATTCAAAAGTTGTCGTTCGAATGTGCATTTTACAACACACTCTATGTTTAAGTTCATGCCAGAAGGCAATTTAATCCCGATGTAAAAGTATGAACAATTCCACCTCCCCACTGGGCGTTACTCCCCAAATCCCCGAAAGTAAATATCGAGGTTCTTTCTTCACCGCGACGCGTGTTTATTGAAGCATTGATCAAAGTTGACCGCAGTGTTCACCTCAGATTGTTGTTGCCATATTTTGGCTTGCAAAATAACCAGAATTATAAAGTAAACAGAATATGAGGAAGCGATTTGGGAAATCAGAAAACCATGAAGCACAAAATAACGCTGTCTTATATGGCAGCACACTTTCGAATTCTTGAATATGTCTTCGAGAGCGACAACATATTTAATTCTTTAAAATATTTTATTCGCAAATTCCAAGTAGAGGCATTTGTAAAACGCGAACGTCAATGTGAATAGGCCTGTTCATTTCGACTATTTAATAATCTTTTTCGATTTTGTTAAGGATATTTTTTATATGTTCTGATAGAAATGGATTTATTTTCAGAAGTTATACAAACAACCATCCTATTAAAATAAAAATACTTCGCCATTCTTTTGGAATTCGGATATTTCTGGGAGTGAATAGGAAAATATTTATATAACGAAAATATTGCACAGAAGCTCAAGTTTGATATTTCAATGTTATCTCCATGAGGGAAAATTATAAATACAGTCGGACCTTTATGTAAAGAAGTCGCTGAATCCTGGAAAAAAGTTCGTTAGATGGAAAATTCGTTATATAGAGGTTCATCTTTTAATATATTTTATAAACTACATAAAACAAATTTTAAATTCATAAGCACTATATATTAAAAAAAGTAATTATTCACACCTTCTTTTTAAAAAATAATATATTTTTTTTTATATATCTTACCCATCAAAAAAATAATAGAAAGAAAAATTCAAGAAAAACAAGAAAAAAGAACGTCAAAGAATACACTGTATTTTCAATTTTAAGAAAACAATTTTATTGTAAAATTAATGAATTTTTAAGACATTTTCTATTTTAAAGTATGCAAGTCGTATCAAACTTGCATTATTTTATAACGGGAACACGGGGCAACTCCACTGAGTGTGAAAGGGGATATCGAAGATGTTTCTAGTGAACTGGACAAAGGGGTTAAAGGTTGCACTTGGATGAAACGTCCGGAACTCTATTGCTCTCGGCGAGTTAGATCTAATAAAACCATTTCAAGATGTATGACCACCATAAAATGTGTTAAGGAGAGAATAACTGAAATGTTTAGAAATGCTTCAAAATTAGGGAGAAAAAAAATTAATCACAAGAAAAAAAAGTTCCTTATATAGAAAACGCACTTTGCTATAGGGAGGCTATTTTACGAAGAAAATTGTGAAATGCTCATGGTTCCAGGAAAAAGTTCGATCTATAGAAAAATTCGCAATATAGAGGTTCGACTCCTATGCATGGTAGATATTATAATTGTGTATTTTTAAAGTCTTATATAGGGTTGTTATTAATTACCTGTGGCGTTTCAATCCTATTGTACAAAACCTGAGACGAATAGAGTAAAAATAAATTTAATTAAAAAAAAAAAATTTTTTTTAGAAATAAGTAAAAAAAAAAAACGAATCTCTTACAGTAGTCACATATGATGTGTAACATCTGACATGTTATCGTGGTAAATACGCTATATTAACATTTTTCCTGAAAAAATTTGAAAAAATCGCGTGCGGGTATGATTGGAAATAATTTTCTATCGAATAATTATATCTTTAATGAAAATTGTATTTAATTAACAAAAGGAATAATGCAATATTTTATCAAAAATAATTATTCTTTTTGAATTTGAGGAAGATCGGAGACAATAGACTTATGATAACTAAAATATGACACATATACTTGTGATTTCAAAGTATTTAAAAACCGTTGAAAAACAGCGTCAATAACAGTACCACTGTTAGCAGTCGAAACATTCTAATTTGTGTTCATTTCGAGCTTGAGTTCATCATTCATAAAAACTATGAGCGGCTCAGCTTTTGGCAAACTGAAGTTAAAATTAAAATCACCACTCAAAATCAGAGGAAGCGAGTGATAATTTTTTTAAAAGAGCAGAACCACCTTCGTTATATGGTAAAAGTACAAAATGCAGGAAATCTTTAGATTTTTAACCGTTTGATTCGAAGAAATGTATACGACCACCGAAATCACTGTTTGTCCATTTTCAAATAAGCATTCTGCCGCACTTATGTCCCCCAATATCGTGACTAACGGATTTAGAGTAGCGCTCGAGTGCTTGATGGCTACTAGATTTGGATCCTCAAGCGAGGGGAGCGAAAAGACACAGCCACGCACTCTCATTGGTCAAATAAAGTAGCGCGCGCTTACGTCACATCCTGTTAAACACATCCGTCCCTTTTCACTAAATCACACCCAACAAATTTCCAGCAACCGATAGGAAAGATGTTACACATCAAAAAACTGAAAGAATATAGTTACAATTCAGATTTTCTTTACGTACGTCACAGGTTGCTATATATGAAACCTTGGTTACACGGCATACATGAATGTTATAGTCCAGTATCTGCTACAATCTACTCAACATGATACTATTGTGATGTCGGTGAGCCTTTAAAAGTACTTCATTACTCGGTAGTGCGAGAAGAATTATAGACACAACTAGCAGTTCAAATGCCTTTTATTTATAAATTAATTAAAAAAAATTAAAGATTTATTCTAATCTTCTCAGTCTTTTGCTGGATAAAAGTTCAGAATCGGAAGCAATGTTCTTCGATCGAAATACAATCAAATTTCCCAGGAGTTTGATCTCCGGCTGCAGTTGTATCCACAACCTCTTCCACAGGTATCGTCCAACATCATTCCCTCCAGTGGTTGCACCGCAGTCTCCACACTCCTTTTTAATAGCCATCACAGCTCCTTTCTCTTAGTCCTTAAGGTAGGGTTGCCCTCACAACTTCTATCACGTATCTTCGAAGAAGCAAAAGCTGATGAATAAAATGATTCAGAAGATTATGCTGCAGATTGAAGAAGATTCTCGTCATCTTTCAAGCCGACCTTTTAAGATATCCGACTACGTTCGGAACCGTGGTTTTAAAAGCGCATAAATGAATAATTTTCATGATATTTAGTGTCACTTAGATTAGAATACACGTATAAAATTGTTTTAAGGACCTTTTGACAAAAAAAATTTATTTAAATACAATATTTCGGCAAAAAATTAGCTTAGAATAACCTTTTTTCAAAATATTCTCCTTTTGTGAAAAATCCTTCTATTCTAATTATATTTTTCCTGTATATAGCTCAGACCTCTGTACAGAGGCTCAACTATGAGGTTTGTAAAATTCACATTATTTTCAGAGTTACAACCCATTGAAATAATTATCGGTGTTTTTTTCTTAAAATATCTTTCCTCTGTTGTGTGTCGTAAAACATGGATAAACCCACTTCTAAGTTGTACATTTCAAAAATTCTAATTGAGCCTCTGTGCAGAGGTCTGACCTATATACAGGCAAAATATTATTATATTAGAAGCATTTTTCACAAAAGGAGAACACTTTGAAAATGGGTCATTCTTTGTTAATTTTTTTGTCAAAATATTGTACTTAAATTTTTTATTGTAATACTATTCTTAAAACAATTTTGTACATGTATTTTAATCTAAGTGACACTAAATATCATAAATATTATCCATTTATATGCTTTTACAAAATCAAAGTTCCTAACGTAGTCGGATACCTTAAGCCCCTTGGTGGGCCTCTTTGACACCCCCAATAATCTCTGATTGGGTGAGTGTAGCGGATCTGTACTAGGTGCTCCTGGTCTTCGTCCCAACTCCATTGGTTCTTTGAGGACAATGGCCGGTGATTCAGATCATGACCCCGGGATCCCAATATCTATGGGAGTCTATCAATCCCGC